TGTGTGTGTACCGCCAGGAAGCAGGATCTGCGGCAGGGGGTGAATGTGGAGGACGAGGACGAAAAGATGAAAACCTGTGTATCTTTTCTAGCCTCAGTGTAAGTGTGATAAGGTCTTTCTTGCACTCTCCCGAGGCTGAGGACAAGGACGATGTGGAGGAAAAGGATCACATAAAGGAAGAAAAAAAAAAAAAGAGATGGAGAAGTAGGAACGAAAACATGAAAACCCTTGTAGCCTTCCTTCCTAACCCCTGTGCAAGTGTTTGCAAGTGTTGATGATGGCCTTTCCCGCACTCTCCTGGAGGCTGAGCGATATTCGCATCCCAGGCAGAAGGATGAAGAGGAGGAGAAGGATGATGTGGAGGAGCTGAGGAGGAGTAAGGATGACATAGAGAAAGAGTAGACGGAGAAGAAAGGAAGATGAGGATAAGCGACCATGGCAAATAAAACAGAAAGCAAAATGGGCTTATCAATATAAAGAGAAAGATAAACGAGATCGCCATAGCCTCCTCCTCCTCCTCCTCCTCCTCCCCCTCCTCCCCCTTCTCTCCAATCACCAAATCATAGCCTCCTCATCTTCCTACCCCCCCCCCCCCCCCCCCCCCCCCCCCCATCATCATCATCGTCACCTACTCTCTCCTCTCTCCTCTCTCCTCTCTCCTCCCTCCTCTTCGTCCATCCATTCTATTTTCGAATCATATCATCGTCGTTTCTCTGCATTTCCTTCCTTTCCCGTGCACTCCTGGAGGCAGGAGGATTTTTACTTTCACGGCTTCCACATGGAACTGGATACATGCAGAGGCTGACGCGAACGAGGAAGAAGCAGAGAGAAAGGATGACAAGAAGGAGGACAACAGAAGAAACACTTGAACGAGGACGACATTGAAGGGGAAAAATTGGGGGGAAGGAATATATGTAGTAAAGCAAAATCGAAAGAGAAAACCCGTTATATGTAGTAAAGCAAAATCGAAAGAGAAAACCCGAATTAATCAAGCGAGGCGAATAGAGAAAACCCGATTTAATCAACAGAGCTAAATGAAGCCCCCCCATAGCCCCCCTACGCCTTTTCTCCTCCCACTTCTTCCTGCCGTCAGACACGTCATATTCCTACCCCTCTCCGCCTTTCGTATTCTCCTCTCTCTCTCTCTCTCTCTCTCTCTCTCTCTCTCTCTCTCTCTCTCTCTCTCT